TGATTTTTTGTATTTTTAGTAGAGACGGGGTTTCACCATGTTGACCAGGATGGTCTCGATCTCTTGACCTTGTGATCCACCCGCCTCGGCCTCCCAAAGTGCTGGGATTACAGTCTTGAGCCACCGCGCCCGGCCCTCATTGTAGTTTTAATCTGCATTTTCCTTAGAAAAATGATTAACACTTGAGCTAAATTTTGATTATATATATACATATTTTTCAGTTGTAACAATATAGTAGTTTCTGGCAAATATCTTTATTATAACTTTTATTTCTGTATTTCTATATTATTTTATGAGGAATATTATAAAATTTGAATGCTACAAGCCACAGAAAATGATCAGTTTATGAAACTAAATCTGACTTCCAGGTAAAATGTAACTATGGTACGGTATTTACAGTTTGTGTTGACTAAAGTAAGCTCCCAGCTGCCATTTGGAGCTACAATCTTGCCACCTCTACTGCCATCGTCTGGTAACATTAAAAACATAAAAAATATAGAAAACTATACAATTCTGGGTCAACCAAAGTCAAATTTCCAATGCAACTGTTTCTCAGACACACACATATTTGAAACTATAGAATGCATGCAAATTGATTTGCTCTTTAGTTTTCGTTACTTTAAAATATACCACAAAAGTGTCAAATAGCAAAATATTTTAATTTCCTCAAATTTAGGGAAGATGCTTTATGAAGTACCTGCTTTTCGATTTGCTCCAAGACCTTTGGCAAATTACCTTAGCACTCTATGGATATCTTGAGGATAACTGAACTGTTTCCTAACTTAAGTCATAGACTGCCAGACGGAAAAAACAATGTCCTCAACGTTAGTCTCTTACTGCACAAGACATTACTGTCTGTACTGTCAAGACATTCTCTGGGTGATGCAATAATTGCCCTCTGCATACTCACAAATGTTAACTCCAGTTCTTTTTTGCTTCCCCTCCCCGCCTAAGAAGCTACCAGGTCACATGCTGGCGGATACGCAGTGGCGGAAACCTAGCGGTGACAGGAAAGGGCAGCCCTTTGCCTATTGATTTGCAGGTTTCTCCTCCGGTTCGCTCTTACTCCGGGGTCCTTCGCACGGACCTTAGCCCATTCATTCGAAGGTTCTCTCCCAGTTCGTTCTTCCACTGGGTCCCTCGCTCAGCACTACCCAAATTAAGCACCAGCTCAGCGCCGGCTGTACAGCCGCTCCTCGTCCTCGCCCGGAGGGGCTGCACCCGCCGAGGCCCCGGCTCAGCTCGGCTCCGCGGTCACGGTCCGGCCCCCGGGGTCCCCAAGGGGCTTCTGGGCCCCGAGGCAGGCGGGGCTGAGCGGGACTCTGAACGGGCACCCCTCCTACTCTCTCTTAGCGCTTGAGCAGCTCTGGCCCCGCCGGCGCAGGGTGCAGGTACCCCGGCCGTGCCCGCCCAGAGACTGCTGCCCCCGGGACCGCCGCCTACCCGAAGCCCCTCGAAGACCCCGGCGCATACCGGCTTCGGCCTGTGGGGCGCCTGGCAGAAGAGGCGTGCGATCCGTGCTCTCCTCGCCATCCTTCTGGGCCAGGTCCCGAACCGGGGACCTCATGACGCCTACGTGGAGTGGGCGCCTTCGCCACCTGGCAGAGAAGGGCGCGCCGACCCAACAGCCCGAAGCCGCCGGGCCGAGCTGGCGGAACCAGCCGGGGCGGGGGCGTTGGCACCGCCTCCCGGACACGTCTCGTCCCCGCGACCCCGCCCAGAGACGGCCGCGCCGACTCCGCCCCCGCCGCCATCTTGGGTGTGGGCAACCGTGGCGTGGGTGGGACGAGGGAAGCCGAGTTCCGGGAGTTCTGGCGGGATTGGCGCAAAGTGAGCCCGCCCCGCCGGTCTACGCACGCCGGGGAGCCGGGGTTCGGACGACGGTCTCGGCTGCTGCGCCCTCTTGTAAAGCGCAGGGGCCGCCCTTCCTGCAGCGAGGAGGAATGGCTGATTGCCGGAGGGCAGTGGGGACTTGAATTGCACATAATTAAGGGGAGGTCTTCGACCGAACTAGGGAAGTGGGTGGGTGGTGTGCATTTGACAATTTGACATTCAGTTGTTAGAGGTCAGTTGCCATATTGTTAGCAACCTTTGTACGATCTACCCCGTGACTGTGACAGCATATTGTACCTAAAATAGCTTCTTTTTTTTTTTTTTTTTTCTTCAGACAGTGTCTTGCTCTTTTGCCCAAGCTGGAATGCAATTGCGCAATCACAGTTTACGGCAACCTGGAACTCCTGGACTCAAACGATTTTCTTCACTCCCCAAGTAGCTGGGACTACAGGCACACAGCACCATGGCTGGCTTATTTTGGTTTTACTTTTTATTTTTGTAGCGGCCAGGTCTCATTATATTGCCCAGGCTGGTTTCGAACTTCTGGGATGAAGCAGTCCTCTCCTTGGCCTCCCAAAGTGCTGGGATTACAGGCATGAGCCACTGCTCCTGGGACTAAAATAGCTTTGAGGTGAAAAAAACAGCAATGGAAATTTGTTGAGTCCTATGAAATTGTTGGCTTTATAGGTAAAAATAATCAGCATAGGTAGTTTCATATGGTTTGAACTACGGAATACTCTGATGTATGTGTGCATGTTATATTGTTGTATTTGACCTAGTGTAGAAAGTTACCACAAGACAAAAGTATGCCAGATTGCAGGGTCATTTAGTATGCCGGCGACCACAGAGGACTCACGTCTCTCCAACCTGTGGTGCCAAAAGGAGGGTGCCATGATTTTTTATACCTGAAAAACCACCTTGGGAGTGGGGGTGAGGGGCGGGGATGGGGATGATAAGGTTTCAGACATTTCAAGGGCTAGGGGATTCTGTGATTCACCTCCTGGGTGGAGACAAGGGTGGGGGTCTCCGGACATTCCAAGGGCTAGGGGATTCTGTGATTCACCTCCTGGGTGGAGACAAGGGCGGGGGTCTCCGGACATTCCAAGGTCTAGGGGACTTTTGTCATTCTGTTTGTTACCTCAGTGGTTTACAGAAGTCAGGATATACATTTGTTTACACATCGTCTGGGTGGTGATAGAAGTCACAGATTTTAGCAGTTACTGATAAGAAAAGGTAAGCAGCTTTACATAGTTTTGAGGAACAAACTGGCAGTTCTATTTACAGAGGCCAAGGACAGTAGTTATTGTGAGGAGAATGGGGCAGCCATTTCAACTTATCTAAAAACAGTTTTGCATTTTATAAAATAGTTTTGCTCCGGTTCTCGCTCTAGGCCAGCACAATATCACAATATCTCCACAATATAATTTGGATAGATTGTGCTAGTATTTAACAGACTCTGAGAAAGTGAAAATAGGAAAATGTGGGGGTTCAGTCAGGCTGGTAGGAGAAATTTTAGTTAGAATATACACTAACCCTTTTGGAAGGCCTGCAGGTTTTTACTATAGTACTTGGTTGAAGGCAACCTTGTCCCCTTTGTTAAATAAATTAGAGTAGAAACAAAGGAATGTGGGGAGTTTATCTAACTTGTTTACTCATAGTCCTAAAACCTTTTATTTTTCCGGATGGTTTTCTCAGGGGGATGTCTACCAGAGATATTACCCTGGAATATTATTGGTGATTGTTTTAGGCCTCGGAACCTGGCCTTTAATCTTTATCCTCAAAGCCTTTGTCATTTAACGTATGCTGAATAAAGGCCAGGAAGGCCAGGGAGTTGGATAGGGGGAGCTGCTATTAACTACTTTGAGTGAATGGCCAGGACACCCCAGCCTTCTCTTCTGTTGTATTCTGTGTTAGAATGTACTTATTTATCCATTGTTGAGTCAGGGTGTGCAGGACAGACCCCTGCAGGAAAACCCAGCTTGTGTTGGTGGGGCAGATCTGGAGCCGCTAATAAAGGCTGTCTCTGTGGAGGTAGAAGAGATGTGGTAAATGCTCTCTGAGATTTCGGTGTAGACAGGGAAGACCCACAAACCAATAATTTAGTAAACCAGATTACAAGCGTGGTGAGGTCCACGTGGGAGCAAAGGGGAAGGTCCTTTACCCAAAAGGGAGGGTGAGGATTTCTGCAGGCATCCCTACCTCCAGATCAGTAAATGCTAGGGAAGTTCTCAAAGCAGCAAATCAAGCCTTGTTTCTGAATTGCTGAATTACCATGTAGATTTTTACACTCTCTAAGGGTTGTAGGAAAATGCCATTCTTAAACTTGATTATGCAGAGTCACCCTGAAAATCCTTTTAAAATGTAGATTCACTTTCAGCAGATCTGGTGTGATGGTTAATTTTACGTGTTAACTTGCAGGATGTTTTTGATGAGGTTAACACTAGAATTATTGAACTTTGGGTAAATCTGGTTGCCTTCCATAATCTGGGTGGGCTCATTCAATCAGTTGAAGGCCTGTCTAGAATAAAAAGTCCAGTCCCCCACCTCTCCTCCCTAGGCAAGGGGGACTTCTCCAGCAGAATGTCTTCAGACTTGATCTGCACCACAGATCCTCCTGGGTCTCCAGGCATGTGTATCATCATCTGTTTTGGGTCTGGAGTTGGCTGGCCTATATTGTGAAAGCCAAAACTTTGTTACCGAAACTACCCAATTGGCACTGTTTCTCTGAGAAGCCTACTACATCTGGGATAGGCCTGAGATTCTGTACTGCTATCAAGCTCCCAGATGTCCAAGGTTATAGAAGACTTGGGCCAGGGAATATAGGTTCCAACAGACTTGAAAGACTTTAAACCAGAGGAATTTTTTTTTTAAATACACTTTTTATTTTAGAAATTTTAGGTTTACATAAATGTTGCAAAGACAGTACAGTGAGTTCTCCATAGCCTTTGCTTAGTTTGACCTATTATTAAGATCTTATGTTAGTATAATTCATATAATAAGCCAGTATAGATAATGAATTATTAATTGAAGTTTGTACTTGATTTGAATTTCTTTAATTTTTACCTAATATCCTTTTCAGTCCCAGGATCTTATCCAGGATGCCACATTACATGTAGTTATCTTGCCTCTTTAGGCTCCTCTAGATTGACAGTCCATGACTTTCATTGCTTGACAGTTTTGGTAGGTTTTGTAGAAAGTCTCTTAGTTTGGGTTGTCAAATTATTTTTTTTTTGATGGAGTCTCATTCTGTTGCTCAGGCTGGAGTGCAGTGGTGCACCCTCGGCTCACTGCAGCCTCCATCTCCTAGGTTCAAGCGATTCTCCTGCCTCAGCCTCCCAAGTAACTGGGATTACAGGCTCATGTCACCATGCTAAGCTAACTTGTATTTTTCATAGAGATGGAGTTTCACCGTGTTAGCCAGGATGGTCTCAAACTCCTGACCTTATGATCCACTCATCTCAGCCTCCCAAAGTGCTGGGATTAGAGGCGTGAGCCACCACACCTGGCCTGAATACAAACGTATTATAATTAGACTGGAGTTACGGATTTTTGAGGGAAAGGTCATAGAAGTAAAGGGCCATTCTCATCAAATAATGTCAAAGGAATGTGCTCTCAACCATTTATCACTGATGATGATCACTAGTGATTTTAAGCCTCATCACATGCCTGAGGTCATGTTTGTCAGTTGTTTTCACTGTGAAGTTAACTCTTTTCCTCCTTGCCTCATTTTTGTCTTTGGGAAGAAACCAGTATGTGCAGCCTTCACTTAGGGATGGGGAGTTACCTATATTCCACCACTTTGAGGGGCAGAATTCTTTTTTTTGAGAGATTTGTTTATTCTCTCCCATTTATTTACTTATTCAATCATTTATTTTTATTAGTGTGAAGTCATTGTTATTTATTTTATACTTTGGGTTATATTCTCAACACTATTTTATTTTTTTTTGTTGCTTAAATTATTCCAGCTTTGGTGACTAGGAGCTCTTTCAGTTGGCTCTTGTGTCTTGCATGCCCCCATTGTGGTGTTTTTGAGCATTTCCTTACTTTCTGGTATGATAAGATATTCTAGGCTCATCTTGTGTATTCCCCACCCCTGCCATTTCTCTAAGGAGAATGATATTACAAACTAAGATCTGAGCACTGCGTGTACTTCTTCCTACTGCAGTGTCATTGATTCTAGGTTCAGAGGAGGTACTTTTGTTTTATAATCTTCCCAAGAAGATTTTGAAACAGGATGTTACTCTGTCACCCAGGCTTGAGTGCAGTGGTGTGATCATGGCTCCCTGTAAGGCTCAACCTCCGGGGCTCAAGTGATCCTCCTACCTCAGCCTCTCTGTTAGCTGAGACCACAGGCAGGTGCCACCATGCCATCTAATTAAAAAAAAATTGGTAGAGACAGGGCTTCCCTATGATGTCTAGGCTGATATTGAACTTCTGGGCTCTAGCATCCTCCTGCGTCAACCTTCCAAAGTGTTGAGAGGATAGGTGTGAGCCACCGTGCCTGGCCCCAAGAGGATTAAAGAAAAGGATGATGACACATTTTTTCCCCTTATATTTGGCATTTGTTTCCCCATTGCATGCTACCATAGAAGATCGTTGTTGGTGTTATTTATTTATTTATTCTTTCTTTTTTTCTTTTGAGATAGAGTTTCACTCTTGTTGCCCAGGCTGGAGTGCAGTGGTGCGATCTCGGCTTACTGCAACCTCTGCCTCCTGGGATCAAGATATTCTCGTGCCTCAGTCTCCTGAATACCTGGGATTACAGGCACCCACCACCACGCCTGTCTAATTTTTTATATCTTTAGTACAGGTGGGGTTTTGCCATGTTGTCCAGGCTGGTCTCGAACTCCCGACCTCAGGTGATCCACCCACCTCAGCCTCCCAAAGTGTTGGGATTACAGGCGTGAGCCACTGCGCCCAGCTTCATATTTATTCTTTAGTTAGTACTTTTCCTTTATCAACACTTTAGACCAGCACTGTTTAGCAGAAATATAATGC